GGCCTTACACTTTTTCCCCCTTAACTCCTTCTCCAAAGCAGGTGAGAATTGCAGTCCTGAAAGCTCCCTGAATTTATACCGCAGATGACTGGGATGTGTCAAAGAGCTACAAAAGGATGGGAAACAGGTGACCTTAATATTTCCTCTCTAGGTCAGTTCTTGCACTCAAAACAATCCCCGTGCTCTTTTTCTGTTTGGGTGATACATCCATTCTGGTTGGTTTGTTTTTTCTGGTAGAGTAGAAAAAAAGCTTCAACATCAATTTTGAAACGAAAATGAGTGCAAGTTTAGTATGTTCAAACCATTTTCATTGTCTCACCATCTCTCCTTCTAAATAGAGTTCAAACCAGGTTTTCAGTGAGTAAAAAACTGGAGGAAAATGAGTGGGGATCAAGCTAAGATATTATATTTAATGCAGAGCATGCGGCTTTCCCTTTTCATTAATTCAAGTGATAGCAGTTTGGGGAGTTGTCACAGCACATAGATAAAAAGGTTTATCCATTGCTTTCTAGCTTGATACTTCTAGAATCTCTTTTTGATTTTTAATTTTTAGAATTTTAGAATCTGAGTTGGGATCATACACTGTTTTGTCTAGGAATCATATAGCCAGGAACCATGCTAAAAATCTGCACCAATTACTTTAAAAACTAGGCTAATGTGCAAGTTCAGCATTAAACAAAAATATCTTGGATCTAAGATTATACAAGAAGGAATAAGCAGCACAAAAGTGTTGCATATGGCATGCAGGTAACCCTAGAGGTTTCGGTATGCATAGGAATAACTGACAGGGCAACTGAGCAGACTTTACAATTGCATCTTCTTATCAATTGTGTCTAAAAAGAACTGCAACATAAATTGTTAATACATCCCCCTCCTTCTGCTATATTTTGAAATCTGGTATCTTTTCCCTGAACCAAATAAAAGGGGAGGGGATTAAGATTTTATGAGTGGTTGCCCCCCAAAATATTTTCTGGCAGTGCTCATGATAGAATATTAAAATCCCAAATGTTCTAACAAAATCTCAAAGGCTCAAAACTCCAGTATTTTGTATGTGGTTATGTTGGCATGGTTACTCAATTGTAATTGGATTCCTTTTTGGATTTCTTTTTTGTCCTCTAACCTTTCCTAATTTTTCCATTGTGTCAGATTTTTCTTAGCAAAGTTTTACTCTGAAATTCTGTGTTTGGGAACAGCAATTTTCCAGTGAACTGGTTTTGCTCAGACCTTCCCTTACTGGATGGGGAAAAAAAGGACCAAGTGTGTATGATGGCAGCTTGCTCAGCCCTTGCCTTTTCCAAACAGGAGGTCCTTAAAATGGTGGTTCAGTCAAAAGCTGGTTTGTCAAAGGGTATAACAACAACAAAGAAGGCAATTTTGGAACTTTAATTTGAGGTAATTCTCAATAAAACCAGTTCTTTCTAGGAGGGGGGTCCTAACAAATTTAATTTGGCTCACACACTGGAGAATCTCCATCCTTTTCTTCTGGAGTTTTGTGGAATGGCACTATTTGGGCCATACTTTTAATGCCGTCTAGTTTCCCAAGGATACTAAGAATCTGCATAGGGGTTAGAATTCATTAAATAAACCCATTGCAAAGCAGGAAAAAAAATCCCCCTTTTTGGGAGGGAGAAGGGCTACACAATCTTCGACATTTCATTAAAATATCCACCAAAGATTTTTGTGATTTTTTTTTTATTTACACTCTGTATCTAGAAGCAGATACATAAATTCTTATACAATTTTTCAAAAAATGTGCAAGAAATTACTGTAATCTTTTTAACAAACCAAAACACATTTAAAATCAATTGACTTTGGATAATTCGTTTTGTTGTGTGCTTAATACAAATAGCGCACACATAATTGAAACATACAGAAAAGTGTAAACTACAGCAATCTGGATTTTAAGTATTAATTTCATGGCACTCCATCACCACTATAAAATTTTTTCCCAATACACAGTAATACAAAATTTTATAAGAATTCCCCACTCCCACCCATTATTGGCATAAAGAGTTTGGATCATTTTCCAAATACATCAAACTCTACAGTATTTTGTCTTTTTAAGAACTATCCCAACTTTGTCAACAAACTTATCATTCACATTTTTATAGCATTTAAAGTTTACAATATTAATGATTGCTGATGTAATAATCTTTTAGCTTAAAATCTCAAAGTTATGTGGCTGAAGACCATTCCTTACTGGAATTCACAGTCAGTATATTGCTGGTATTTTGGTTTCATTTAACAATTCCAATATTTACATATTAAGAAATGCATTTCTGTGAAAAACAGCATGTTTTGCAAAGTTCACCAGTAAAGTTTCATAAGGAGATAAGCACCTTGACGAACAGTAAAGATACCTGGGGCTTAAAAAAAAAAAAAAAATCCCATTCTTGGGTTTACAAGATTTTATCTCCAGAACTAAACAGTGACATAATAGGTAAAACTTTACTTTAATCCCTTCTTCCCAAAGATCACTTGGGTATAATTACAGAATGTGAACATTATTCAAAACTTATAAGAAAAAAATATTTCTAAGCATCATCTGAATTTTCAGCCCCATCAAAGGTTTCCCTTCTACCCAATGATTTAAGAAGTAAATTTAGTGATAAATTATCTGATAATAATTTTACTGATAATAGCAGCTAGAATTTGCATTCCCTTCCTCTCGAGCAATCCAATTTGAAAGAAACTACTTTGTGAAAGGCAGCCACTATTTTTGCAGTTACAATTGTTTTGGAATAGACTTAGATCTTCACTACTTTTAATGCCAATTCTACAATACATAAGGTTTTCCATTGGAAAAAAAAACACATCAAAGAGTTGGACTTAAGTGAAACATCCTTTGAAGTTGTATTCTTTACAAGTTGTGTTACAAGATTCTTGGAATATGGAAACCATTGTTTGGCTGTGATCAGTGAATTCCTGTAAGGTATTATGTCCAGTGCTGATAATCACAGAAGTTATGAGCTGCATGTAAAAGCAGTCTTACAGTTTGTGTGTAAAATTTATGGATTAAGTCTGTGGGTCTGCCTCATGAATATGCAATAAGTATGCATTTGTGTAGGTTGGAGAAGAACTGAAACAAATAAGATTTGAGACACATGGTACTATGGTTATAGACCACATGCAAAGCATTGGCTAGTGTATATAGGTGGAGAAAGAGAAACATAAACCTGCTGCTTGCCCATAAACCAATGTGCCAGAATTTCTGCTACATTGATATATTGGGGGGGGGGGGGGGGGGGGGGGGAGAGAAAAAGAGAAAGACAGAGTGTGCAGATTTTCATCTCTATTGTCTTGAGTATGCCATTTCTGAACATTTCTAATTCATAACTATTATTTTGTAACTTATTAAAATAGCAAAGAAATAAGACACAGATACATCTCAGCAGCACTGAAAATATCTGTGGCTTCTAATAATCTTTCTTTTTTAATCAATTATAGGATTTGACTAATTTTTAAAGAAAGATTCCCTTATTTTTGAAACCAATCTGAATTCTTCTATCTACATGTATGTCCAGGCCGACTTGGCCATTTATTTCTCTCACCAGATTATTCCACAAATAATGACCTCTGTAGACTCAGAAATTTTTACTACAGTTCTTATAAAATACAAGAGATTATTATCTTCAGAACATTAGAATCATTTTCCACTCCATTTAAATGGATACACTCCAATAATTATGTGTTTTGTTTGCTGAATACACAGAAATTCAACCCTACAAGCAACTTTTGTTATTGCCTTATTTTTATCATTAACTTTGTAACACAGTGATTTTTTCTGTTATTTTTCTGTCAATCTACTATACCAATTTTTCAATTTATGGTAGTAACATTTTCCAATTGCATTTATTAATTTAATCTGGGCTAATGTTCAGGTAATCCTAACTTTTTATACTAACCAAATTTAAGTTTGTATCAATACTGTCAAAATGGACTTGTGTTTCTTCTGTCAACATTTGAATAGCACAAAAATACTGACAAGTAATTAATGCAATCTGATTATGGAATATAAGAGAATCTGAATACCTCATAGTGTTACAACAAAATGTTAGGCAGCTAACGTTTCCTGTCTTGAGGATGCCCTCTTTCTTATATATAAACTGTTCATCTTAGAACTTACTATATATAAATATGTAATAGCCTATGTGATCCCTTGCACGTGCAGCACACTGGCACAAGCAATGTAATATTTGAGGGGAAATACAATTTTGTTGCAGCAATGTCCGTCAACAGGTACCTCCATGTTTCAGCAGTTGTTCTGAATTGTTACGTTGAATAAGGGAGCACCCACTCACACCAACAGTTAAAAGGCAACAGAAAGCAACATATAATTCTGCATGGCAAAAGATATGAGCTTTCTACAAAGATTAAAAAACAAAGCAAGAAAGGCAATTCACAAGAGGTTTTTGATGCGTTAAGATCAAAAGTCATTGCAGAATTTTCCACTTTTTTTTTGTTTGTAATATGCAACATGCCACTTAGGAACCCCTCCTAAACACCCACACACGCACACACACAGCCAAGACCTTAACTGGGCACAGTGAGGATTAGGATGCACATAGCTGTTTGTCTTACTACCTTAAAGGAGTTGCCCAGAAGACAGAGGTTCTTGGTGTATGTTGTCTTTCCTAGTTCTACTGTATGAGATAAACTTGTTTATTCTGTGAGGGAAACGACTTTAGGCGTGCAATGCAAGAGTGTATTTTGAGTATTAATGAACTGAAGATGTAAAAAGATGGGGACAAATGCAGCAGGCAGGTTCAGGGTCTATCATTCAGACAGAAATATGATTGGGCTATAAAAATCTAAATATGGAATTGTGATACCACTATAGTCCCTCAAATCATGATTTGTTAAACTTTTTAAAAATATTGCCATAATATACATTGGTTACTCCAGAGAACTTTCTTCCTCTACCACTAACTAAACAGTCCTTTTCTTGTCATATCCTACAGACAAGGATTTTACCCTAACATGTATTTTCCTACTGTAGGAAAAAAAAAAAAAATCCTTTTCTTCATTAGGCAAAACATGGTACTATCACATATATCATTGTGCCTTTTATATATAAAATTTGTAATCTTGCTTGGGAGTAAAAATTAAGAAACAAAAATGAAGATTTTGCATAAATATCAGAATGGCAAAGCCAAGAAATGACACACACACATATAGATATATTTTGCTCAGGAATTTAAGAGCATCTCTCTCTATATATTTTATTTTTCAAAATCTATTATACTGTAACTGGGCAAGAGAGATGCTTCCACCTCTGATTCCCAGAGCAAAAGACATACTTTGCCTCTGATATTCTTCTAAACATTATGATCTAAAAAATAATTTTTTAAAAAATAGAAATTTAGCATATTGACTCACACAACCCAAAATGTCAGGCCACTGCAGCACCTTCATACTTTAATAGTATAAATTCATTCAAAAAACCACAAAAAAGGTAGAGGAAGCAAGGGTGAAATACCCCAAAATGAAGATTTCTCAAAATTTCATCACCCTTTAAATGTTTTTACTAATCAGAAAAATATTCAGTATTCAAATGGGAAAATGCAAAGAAAAAAATGAAAGACACACTGCAGTGGCACAAACTAATTTCTGTAACTTTAAAACCACACTCCCAAATTGTATGATTTTATTCAGAAATTTCAGAATACAGTTTCCTACTTGTTAAGATTTTGGTTCACAAGAGCTCTTATAAACATAAAAATGCTCTGCTTCCACAGTATAGTGTTTATCATGGAACAACTTGCAGAAATAGTCCTTTGACCACAAACATTTTTTTTAAATAGTTAGGCTGCAATTCTTTATAAACTTATTGGCATTTTTTTCTACAAAAACATACACAAAACAACACTATCAGACTTAAAGCCTACTGAAGGCAATGGAGCCCAATTAACATCAACTTTCCCCAATTTTTCATCAAAACAGGTGAGGAAATTTCTCAAGATTGGGTCTAGGCTGTAAAGTAGCCTCATCTATAGGCCTTCCAATTAACTGGAAATTTCTCCTATGCAGACCTCACTAAAGTGAAACAAAACAATACGTTGATGCTCTGGAAATCCTAATACAATTATTCCTGGAAGATTTATCCCATTACAGGTATCTAAAATGATATGGATTTTCCTTTTTGCAAATAAGAGTATGTAAAAATGAAAATCGTAATGCACTTGAATATTTCCTATGGTGACTATTTTGATATTTTATCTAATTGTCTTCATTTTAAAATGTGCATGTTTCTATAACGAATAATATTTGGGGATTAATTTAAGTTCTCTTCACTTGCCAATTAAAATGAAATATAATGATGGAAAATGAATGCTAAACAATAGAGGAAAACACATTTGAAATTGAAGCCATGTTCGATCAAAGTTAAGTACTTCTTAATCTTATCATTTTCCATGGGAAAAGATTATACATGTGGCTAACTCACCCAAGGAAATTAATGGAATTTAAATTCCTTTTACGATGAGCTATTTAATGTCCATTTTTTGCAGTAATTACAGGATACTTTTAAATGCATCACCACATAATTTTCAAAATTTCCATTGGGACAAATCTCAGAGTTCTGAAATTATCTGAATAGCTTCATTTAAATCAGGATTTTTAGAACCCCTCCAAATATTTTTAAGTGTTTTTAAGTGTATTTAGCTTTTGTTTGAATATTAATATGATTTCCAATATTTATTTCACATTTTTTTTTCAAAGGCTATTTTAAAATTTAAAAATGGTTAAGAATGAACAAGAAAAGCAAAGTAATATCTGCAATAACTGAAACTGCTTAGGAGAAGGAGGCTTTCAAAAGATACGATGCACAACCGTATTGTATCATGCATTCCCTCCAGCCCACGGTTCTATGCTTTCAATTAGGTATTGGGAAATTATGTTAAGCATCTATCCAAGTTCAGTATACCAGTATATTTTACTCCCAACTTTTTTTAAATTAAGAACAAAAACAAAAAGCAGACTATTTGAAGACGACAAAATATATCCCATCAAGTTTCAATTTTTACGTATGGTTGAAAACACATGAAATGTGCTTCAAATGCATAAAAATCACAGTGGATTAGCAGCAAAGGAGATGGGGAGTTTAAGGACAATGTTTATCATTCACATTGTGATTATTTTGCACACTGAATGAAAGATAGTTATTTTATTCTTCTAAAAAAAAAAAACCTTTCAGATCGTTTTAAAAAAGAAAAACCCCAAATACCCATTAAACTCAAAACACATTACCCTTCTTTATGCACAAAAATGAAATTATGGCAGCAAAAAAACTAGTAATAATTAAGTTTGTAAACTGTGTATCAATCGCTCTCTTTAAATTTTTTGTTGTTATTCCCAAAGTGCAAGCTGCAAGGTTCCCATAAGCCTTCAGTAGTGCTTTTCTTGTAAATAATCCTTCATTTTGTTTGGCAAAGGCAGTTTCTGAATCAGATCTATTCTGGTATACTGACGTATAACAAATCGACACAGATACTGCAAGGAACGCACTTGCATGAAACGAGATACTGGATTGGTTAGTCTCACTGGGTAAGTTGTAGATCCAGGTAATCGAGATCTCGAATAGCAAAATGCACCATTTTCAGAGTCCCTAATTGAGTGTTCAATTAGATCAACTATAGAAGTATGTCCCTCCACATCTGGTTGTTCGTAAAAGCTAAATCTACCATTTGAATGCTCAATTCTAGTATGAAGAGTTTTACCATGAGAACGGAAACTCAGACTTAAAAGGTAACGGTCATCAGAGCTGTCCCGCACAAGAAATGAACCATCAGGAACATTGGCTAGTTTTCCCTCTGCTTCCCATCGTGTAATTGGACCCCAGTACCATCCTTGTTTTGCCAGTTTTTTAAGTTCTTCTGTGAGACTTGTTACAACCATCGGGCCACTATTTTGTACAGAATCATATACTCTTCCAACTCCTGGTGCAGAGTTAGGATCAAAATTTAAATGGCAGCGCATACTTTCAGCCACATGGACATCTGTGCCATTCAGGCTGTTAAAGTTCCTTTGGATTTGATTATTCTGTATTGGAGGTAGCAATGGCGAGAGTGGAGGAATATCATTATGATTAACTCTTGGACTTTGCAACATGATTCCTGTTGTACCAATCAATAAACCATTTACTGCTTGGTCCACAAAGATATCTGGAGCAACTACTACGTCTTGATTCACTGAACCCTCTTCTTCATGAAATGTAGTACTACCCATTTGAGAAGAAACAGTTGAAATCTCCATGGGTGAGGAACTATCCAAACAGTAACTACGTGATCCTTCCAAAGGATACATTCCCTCATCTAAAGGCACAGTGTACTGAATGTAGTCCTGAGGCATAAGTCCAATAACTACAGGCACATGTTCATCAATATGAAGATGCAAATCTCCATTCTGAGATTCCGTACTTTTTAATGCACTGTTTTGTTCATGGAACATGCTGTCTGGCTGCAAGTCGTGGAAATCTTTGCGAACACCATTCAGTGCAGGGCTTGGATTTGAAGAGTGGACCAAGGCCTTTACTTTCACTTCCATTTTTATACATGTTTCTTCTGAGTTTGTTGGCCGAAGGGGCCATGGGGTTGGACTATAATGGTGATTTCGGAGGGATGTGGATCGAAGAGGTCTTTGAGCTCTTACATCTTTGAAAGTTATTGGAGCAGAAGAAGAAGAAAAAGTATCTTCATCAGCAGAGCTTACAGACGGCGTGCTGCCCTTGCCACCTTTTTGCTTCTGTTTGGCTGAAAGTCGTCTTTTTAATGTACCCATTAAGCTTTCAGTCTTTGATCTGTTTTTGCCACCTTTCTCATCTTCACTGTTGATGTCACAGCTAGCCAAATCTTTGCCATAACAGCTAGCAAACAAGGAGTCATCTTTTCCAAAATCATTTAATGATGGCTGTGCAACCACAACAAAGTCACTGTCATCTTTGCTCTTATTTAAGTTAAAAGATTTACGAATGGTCTTGAGACTAATTTTCTTCATTATGAAAATGCAGCAATTCTGGCAGGTTTTTTGTTTTTGTTCTTTAGTGTACTGGAGATTTGTCCCTAAAACGGATAACGCAGGTGCTTCCACATTGATGTGCCTTATCCAGACTCATTAACTCTGAAGACCCATTTCCTGAAAACAAACAAACAAACAATAAATTTCACACAGGACATAATCTGTATAGTAGAGCAGTACTTAAGAAATCTGTATAACCAAAGTATAAACTAACAGAATCAGAAAAGCAGAGTTAATAACTATTACTACTGATAAATAAGAGAGCGATTTATTGAGCAAAGTATATTTTATCTCACGTATTATGTTAACCTTCATTCTATTGGCTTACTCTCTGTATCTCATATTTTGCGTTAGAATGACTACTATAGTCTGAATGACTGTCATCAAGCTATACATTCACATGTTTCACAGCCTATTCTTTTACACCATTTTTCTTCTATTTCCCATTAACATTAACACTACTGTGCTAAGATGACCACACTGGCAAGCTACAGTTAATGTCTGTCCTCTAAATTGAATTTGAAAATATATTATTTCTTCTGATTATAATCTAAAAGAAGATAACCACTTCATTCTGCTTCAGACCTTCATTAAAGTAGGCAAGTATTTTCAATAATCATCCAAAACTGGAGAGGCTTATGGTCAAAAGCATTAGCATGTAATTTGTTTGTACATCCAAGCTGATGGCCATGTGGACCACATACAAGTAAGTTCTCTCTAAGAAAATGCAAGGGAGAGAAAAAACCCAACAAGAAAAAGGAAATGTAACTTTGTGATTGACACCTAGCTTCCAATAAGCAAATTATTTTACGCAGGCTCTCTTTTTTATTTCCAATAGCCATGCTCTCTGGAAGAAAGTAGAAAAACTTAACAGGAGCTGTAGAAAATAGATTAAAGGAACACTACACAGTAATACAAATCCAAGCTGAACCACATTACATATCCAAAATTCTAAGCCATGCTGGTCTCCTATCTTCAGACCCTTTTTCTATACATACCCTCGCTAACCGCAGTATGCCTCCCCAATGTAGTCCAAAACAAGATATTGAGAGGTAATTATATAATTATGAAATATGTTATTGCTTTTAAAGGAATAGCAGTCATGGAGGTAAAATATATGATCACAGTATGTAGGAAGAGGATTAACACTTTTTCTTTGTGCCAGGTTCCTTTTGAAAACTTCCTTCTCAAAACTGGTATTGTGTCAGAAAAAAAAATAGCTATTGATACAGCTTTCCTTCTAGGTAAATATCTTTGGGGAACAGATTGACTGGAGTCATGGCATGGTATAAAAACTCACATCCTTTTTTATTCATGAGCACATTACAGTTGCAATTTCTTTTTTAAAATACAAGTCTTGTGAAACATAAATGAAACATATCTCATATGATCCAGTTTGATCCTGAAAAGGAAGGACCCATCTGAAAATAAGGAATAGGACATATGCACGTGTGTAGCTCACATTAATCCTGGAAAAAAAAAAACATACTCTAAACAATCAACTGGAGACCGATTTCAAAAAGCTAAACAGGATCAGATTTTGTTGGTACTTAAATGAGATACTACCAGGAAAATTCAGAGTTGAGAAATTCAAGGAGAAGGTATATTTGCAGACATCCATATTCTTTTGAACTATATACCCACTAAATGGAAACTGACTGCTGGAGAATGGAACTAGATCCATTGTGTCCTTAAGAGGCTAATCCTTCAGTAATGAAAATATAATGACATAAGACCCCAATTACTCAGTGTACTGAAGATTTGAGGTTACTTGCAGCTTCTTAACAAGTTGCTTATAGGCATAGATTTAGTATGAGCAGTTATAATGAAATATGTTTCCTTTATTGAAATGGTTGTATAAAATTTTATTGGTATAGTAGTTAAGATGCTGGACTTTGAAACTAGGAAACCATGATTTCTAGTCCTCTCTTGAGCATGGAAGCCAACTGGCTGACTCAGGGACACACAGACACATTTTGTTATTTTGCTCCCTTTCCCCCCTTTCTTTTTCTTTTAAATTTTGCTACTGTTTAATTTATATATTTTTCTTTGTCCTATTTAACTGAATAAACAAAAGCAAAAAAAAAGCTGTTTCAAAATGGAAAAAAAGGAAAAATAAATATTCATAGATAACCCCATGTAGTCACCAGTCAAGCTCAACTTGAAGGAGGCTTTTAATATTTTCTAAATATGACAGTGAAAAAGCAAGTTATGTTTAGAGTTAGTAAATACATTTTCAGCTTTCTGAACTGAAATATCCAAGTCATTTAATATGTCTGTTAACTCTACTATTGTAGTGAAATCTTGAATTAACAGACCAAATGAGGGTATCCAATATTCCACTAAATCTATTAAATCAGAAGGCATATCATCTGTGGTAACTTCTTCATATAGATTACATTCTTTTACATTATTTGAGTAATGTGTTGCATCTGATGTTTAGTGCAGCAAGTTCTGCTAATGCAGGCTCGCTCTGGCAATCTCTCAATTTTTATTTACCCCATTAGCCCTTCTTACCTAGAAGAGAAAAGATGGAAGAGGAGACCATTAGATCTTCTCCTCCCTTATGGAAAGATGAAGTGAGTGACAGCAACAGGCACCATTGCCTGAATGGATGAACCTGCACCTTTAAAGAATACCCAACAATGCATGCTCTCTTCCCATGGAATTTTACAGATGCAACTGAGAAATAGTCACCAGCTAATTAAAATATATTTGAGATGATTACAGGTAGTCCCCAGTTTAAGAACAAGTTCCGTTCCCAAGGTCTATTCTTAAGTCGAATTTGTATGTAAGCTGGAACAGTACTATTGTATAATACTGTATAAATAGTATTGTGTAATGAACTCAAACCATTATGTATTTAACTCAAATTTTGCTACAGTAGGCTCCATTCTTAACTATGGGTCATCCTTAAACCAGGCATTCTTAACTTGGGGACTATCTGTATCTGCTATGAAATGTATTCAGAAAAAAATCTGCCTATCTACACAAGCAAAACACATTTATATATGAATAAGCTACTTTTTACTTATGTAAATACAGAGTTTCATCTGGTGAGAAGATAAAAAAGACAGTTACCTTCTTTTCACATTGCATAAATGAAGTGAATGTCTCTCAGCCTCACTGGATTTATAGGATGAGGTGCACTTTGCTTTTCTTAAAGGTACACATCAGACGTGTACCTTTAGAAACACTGCCAGAGAGGCATTATCAGGCTTCCGCGCATATTTCATACAATATATAATGTTCATTACTTTGCAGATATCCACTACGAAGCATCATCATCATCAACATCATGTGATAAAGAGAAGGAGGAAAGTTTTTTTTTCCTTAACACCAATGCAACATAATTGTTAGTTTTTATGAAATAATGGAACATAATGGGAAAAAAAACAAGTAAAAAATAAAAGCATATGAATGAAATGGGGAAAAGTTCATTCTCTTTGATACTGCTTACTGAAATCCCTTGCGGTTTCCCAAAGAAGTCAACAGAAATCTTTCATAAACCAGCACTCATAAAAGGAGAAGGGAAAATACTGTTCGTATTGAAAGACATTTTACAAGAATATGAAGGAGCCAGCATTTGGTTAGACAACCTGATAGCTATTGTCCTGGTCAGCCTCTTTCCAGAAAAAAAATTAAGTGGACTACTAATATTTGTGAGCTAGTAAGTGAAAAAAGGTCTTTATAAAAGAGTGTAAATGTTACTTAAATTATTGAATCAGAACATCTCCCTCCTATACCGCATCTGAGATTTTAAGTGCTAAGTTAAAGTATCTTCTTTGGAATATTAGTTTTACTGCCATTGTGCCAATTTATTTAATGAATAGATATAGAAATTACCAAACTGATTTCCAAAACAATTTACAGTGTGAACAATATAAACACATGCACTTATCTTATTTCTTTAATGGCTCTAAAATGACCCAAAAGCAAGTATTCACAATATCATTATCTGCAGAACAACCTTGTATGTGCCACGAAGTTCAGATTATCTTTGAGAGACAATGCCATTTAAGTAATTTCAGCTCTGATTTAAAGCCACCGATAGTAAAAACAAACAAACCTATTGTAATTGGATTTGGCTTTTTCCTTGCAACTATCAACCACATATCTAGTACATAACTTTGTAAATAACATTAAGATCCCAATGATTTTCCAAGTATGCCTAGAATAAAACTGTATGTTTGTGTTAAAATGAAAATAACTACCTAGTTGTTAAATGTGACTAGCTATACAAGAAAAATTAATCAATACTTTCCTGTTTAAACTCAGTGCAATGATGGTGAAAAATATCAAATACAAAACTTCAGGAAAGTTTCAGGAGAATCTTAATGGATTAGGAAAAATCCTCACCTTTCACATAATCAATAATAGATAACAAATCTGGGTTGCCTATAATACTCAACTGTGGTTTAGTGCAGGGATCAGCAATCACTGCAGATACTTTGGGTACCATTATTCACTCTCACATTATGGCCTAGGTGTTTTAAAATAATTCATCAAAAATCCACAAGAATACCAAATATTTGGAGATTTTGAAAATCCCATTCTGAGTTCTTGCAAGCCCAGAGAAAATATAAGGAATGCTGGATTGCTCATGCAATTGGTTGTGGTTCTCATGAGAGGACAGCCACTTTTTAACTTTTCAGTTTTAAAAAATATTTTCAAATTATTGTAGGCAACATACATACATACATACACATCCACTGTGCTAGTCCCATTTGTAACAAGCAATGTTATATAAAACAGAGAAAAGGAGTAGGAAACAATAAGCAAGATGAATTAAATACATGAGGCAAGAATAAGAAGGATATATTGTTGTTGTTTAGTCGTTAAGTCGTGTCCGACTCTTCGTGACCCCATGAACCATATTGCGCCAGGCCTTCCTGTCCTTCACTGCCTCCCTGAGTTTGCTCAGTTTCATGCTCATTGCTTCAGTGATGCTATCTAACCATCTCATCCTCTGCCGTCCTCTTCTCCTTTTGCCTTCAATCTTTCCCAGCATCAGGGTCTTCTCCAAAGAGATCTCTCTTCGCATTAGGTGACCAAAATATCTGAGCTTGAGCTTCATTATCGATCCTTCCAATGAGCAATCAGGGTTGATTTCCTTT